CTGCCTCTCCTACTTTATCACCTTCAAACCTTCGGAGGCTGCAGTCCCCCGAGGGCATATAGGCTTTGGCCATGAGGTTTTTTTTAGAATCAGAGGCCTGAGAAAATAAATCAATCCCTGCTTTTTCAGTTTTTCCTAAAATTTCATCGCCTAATTCACACTCATTCATAGGCACTTTAGCTTGCTTTTCTAGATTAGGATAGCTCACACAAGACTTCTTACTAGACTGATAATCCTCACTTTCTTCCTCCTGAAAAAGTCTTAAAACCATCTTAACTTGAACCCACAGAAACCAGTCTCCTTAGGGATACTCTCCCTATCTCTGTGTGCTTCCTTTAAGTTAACAATGACCTCCTCCCAGGTCTCTAGATTAAAAGTTCCTTCCTCTGGGAACCATGGATTATACCTTTTTACTACTTTTAGAAAACATTGCATCTTTTTCTTCGTTACTTTTACACCCTGTCTTTTCAGTAAGTAGATGAGCTTGGTACCATAAGTTTCAGGTTTACTTTTACCTTGCCCCATTGTTCTCTTTAAAATACTTATTCACGATTTCCACTACTTTTCCACCAATCCCCACACCGGATCCTCACTTCACACAATTTTCATTTACATTCCAGTGGGGCCGTACAATTGTTACACGGGACATATAATTCATTGCCACGCGTTGAGCGCCATTTATAGTATTAAAAAAAAGATGCCGCTGAGGGAGGTGGGGGGCCAGCCCCCACCGCTAATACTCCTATTGCTATTCGGGTTCAGTAATGCACAATTGTACGGTTGAGATATATAAGCATTATATTAAAGTCATCGAGAGCATGAGAGATAATACAATAATATAGTCAGGCATGTTACATAGTACCATTGCTCACCTCAGTCCAGCTTGGTGGTCCACGTGGAGAGAGGGGGAAGGGAAGGAGGGAAAGGGAACAAGGGAGAGGGGGAAGAGAGTCAGGGAGGTCAGAGTTCGAGTCCGAGCAGTCTGAGTCCCGCTATATTGCTGACCCATGCCTATATAACTTTTGGGGGCATGCCAGCCCACTAATTACAGGTAGAGACATACGTCACAGGGAGGGTTGCACTATAGGTTACACAGCAATGAGAGGGTGGTCTAGGGGGTGGTCTCTGGGTCTCCATAGGAACATTATCAGTAGGGTGCAAACCCCTCCTCCAGGAACCAAGCTAATGGCCTTAGGCTCCAGAGAGAGGTAGTCCATGGTCTCCAGCAGCAGGGAGCAGGCCCAGCCCTGCTGTGGGATGAGACAGCAGTCTGGCAACAAGTATCTGACTTCCCCCCACATTAGGGGCTCATACAACTCTTATCACAATCCATACATACATCAATTGTGTAAAGCACATTTGTACATTCATTGCCCTC